TGTGCCTGAAATCCCAGTTACTCAGGAGGCTGAGGCAGGAGAATCGCTTGAACCCGGGAGGCAGAACTTGCAGGGAGCTGAGATCATGCCACTGCACTCCAGCCTGGGCGACAGAGTGAGACTTTGTCTCAAAAAAAAAAATGAGGATTCTGAACAAGTTGTTAACCCTGCAAGTGACAATACTGATATGGCTTCCACCAAATGGTAACGTTTCTTCCTTATTATCTAAGTCCCCCAAGGTCGTCTTTTCTTCTTCTGTTCATTGGGGATGTCTGGGAATTCAGGCTTAAAGACCATTAATCTGCTCAGACAGAATCCAAATTGGTAAAACCTGATTTGGCAAATACAAAAACTAAAATTTTAGTTTTAAGCTAGACCAAACTGGAGATGGTTATTTGAATTAAAGTGCAATATATATATATATATATATATATATAGAGAGAGAGAGAGAGAGAGAGAGAGAGAGAAAGAGAGAGAGAGAGAAGAGCAAAAATATATACATATATTTTTGCAATTTTCCCTTTCAGAGCTTATATCATTTTACTTAGACTCACTGTTCAACAAATCTGCCAACCTGCAGAAAAAATCCTGTTTTTATGAAGTCATTTACACCAGGATGACTAAGTAATAGGTCTTTCCTCTCACAATAAAAATATGGTTTGATTTACAAGACACATTACAGGAATACATCTAAAGCTCTTACAAAAAATAAGGTGTCTAGTGACAAGAAGTTTCTTCTGAGAGAGGTAACTGAAACATTTCCACCAGAGGGCACTATCCTCACTGAAGGTAATGAATATATTGTTCCTAATTTAAAACAATTTGCAATATAACCAGCCCCAAAAACTCATTTTTATTCTTGAAAGCCTTTATAAAGAACAGTAAATTGTTTTAAAATATAACATGCTATAGTTAAATAAAATATAAAATAATTTTTTGCCATAAAAGTAATGATAATAAGAATAAACATATATTTTAGTTTACTATGTGGCAATCATAATTCTAAGCACTTTACATATATAAACTCATAAGTTCCTCATATATTATAATCTCTATTGTACATATGAGGAAATCAAAGCACAGATAAGTAACTTAAAGGGTCACCAAACTAGCAACTACAGAGCCGGGATTCAAATTCTGGCAATCAGACACCCAAGTCCATGTACCTAATCTATAAAAATATAGGGCCCCAATACAAGGAGATTTGTTTCTGAATGTATTTAACTATGCTACTGATTACATCACAGCTCTAGAAATACACAAAATTAGTTATAAAAGGTACTATTCTGCCATCTGATAGTAATGTTATTAACTTTATTTTGACATCTTTTTCACATGTACATAAACGCCTCCCATTAAAGAAGACCTATCATTTTAGCTCACTTATTTGTCAGCTGCATTCCATCAAAAAACATCCTATTTTTACAAAGTCACTCTAGATTTAAGAAGAAGGAAGAGTGAGAGGAGAAGAATCTGCTCATTTCTTTTTCTAGTTAAGAGATGGGGGTCTCACTATGTTTGTTGCCCAGGCTGGTCTCTAACTCCTATGCTCAAGCGATCCTTCCACCTCAGAGCCTCGCAAGAAGCTGGCACTACAGGGATGCACCTCCACACCCAGTTCTACTCTTTTTATTTTTATATGTTTAAAGATTTATAATAAAGACTGTGAACCACAGGCAGAGTTATGGCTTGAAATAAAACAGTCTGAGTAAATTGTTTATTATTAGGACTGTATAGAGACTCTAAATTAACTCCTGGTCTTTGGAACTGACTTGGCATTCACGGTTGTATTTCCATCCTTCAGACACATCTGTGATTCTCCATAAGCTATATATGCACTTTGCAATGGGTAAATACACAAATATTGTTGGAAAAAACTCAGGATGTGTATCTTGAGAAATTCACTGCCTTTACTTATTAGAAATTTGGAAACTGCCGAGTACCTGATCCCAGCACAGTGGGAGGCCAAGGCGGGCAGATCACCAGCGGTCAGGAGTTCAAGACCAACCTGGCCAACATGGTGAAACCCCGTCTCTACAAAAAATACAAATACTAGGGCTGGGCGAGGTGGCTCATGCCTGTAATCCCAGCACTTCAGGAGGCCAAGGTGGGCAGATCACCTAAGATCCAGAGTTTGAGACCAGCCTGACCAACATGGAGAAACCCTGTCTCTACTAAAAATACATAATTAACCAGGCAATGTGGCTCATGCCTGTAATCCCAGCTACTCAGGAGGCTGAGGCAGGAGAATCACTTGAACCCAGGAGGTAGACGTTGCAGTGAGCCAAGATCACACTATTTCACTCCAGCCTGGGCAACAAGAACGAACTCCATCTCTAAATAAATAAATAAATAAATAAATACAAAAATTAGCTGGGCATCGTGGTGCATGACTGTAGTCCCAGCTATTCGGGAAGCTGAGGTATAAGAATTGCTTGAACCCAGGGGGCAGTCGTTGCAGTGAGCTGAGATCATGCCACTGCACTCCAGCTTGGACAACAGAGTCTTTCTCACATAATAATAATAACAAAAATTATGCCAGGCATGGTGGCTCACGCCTGTAATCCCAGCACTTTGGGAGGCTGAGGCGGGCAGATCACCTGAGGTCAGAAGTTCGAGACCAGCCTGACCAATACGGTGAAATCCCATCTTAAAAATAAATAAATAAATAAAAATAGAAATCTGAAAATTAAGGTATTTTACTGAGCTATAGATATAGATAAATTTGTTTCCGAATGTTCAGATTACAACTTCTTTAGATGTACTTTACTAATGCAATTAGACTTGTGTGTGTGTGTGTGTGTGCGTATGTGTGTATGCACATGCAGACTCACATGTGCCTTCAATATCAAGTTCCAAGCATTCAAGCTTCTTTTAATTAGTCCACTTCCTACGTGTTGCACAATTTTTAAAAATTAAGGAGAGTGCATAAAAGAACATGACAAAGGATATTCACTCCAGTATTTGTATGCTGGCAACACACTAGTAACAACCTAAATATCTACCAGATGGGAATTGGTTAAACTAATTATAGCATATTAATATATGTGACTAATAGGCAATTTTTAAAAAGAAAGCAGCAGCTCTGTATGTACAGACAGGCAGGTGAAAAAAGCAAGACACAGAACAGTGGTTATGATATGCTAACCTTAGTATGAAGAAATACACACACACACACCACAGCAGAAACACTGGTTGGCTCCAGGAAACAAAGTTGAGGACTGAGGAAAGGGAGATTGGAGGAAGACTGATTTTGTAAATGCCTCTTTGAAGTGTTTGATTTTTTAGTTTTATTTTTTTGTAAACTGGGTTCATAAAAGATTTTTTTTCCAATTATAATTGATACAAAGTTAAAGTTAAAACTTTAATAATCAGTTTTTAGAATTTTTGATTAAATTAAGTGGTTAAAGAAACAGCAAAACCAATCTAATGCCACCTAATTTGGGGTCTCTACTACAGTGGCATCTGCTTTCTACATGAGCTCCTGTATATTTGGGATAAAATGACTCATGGGAGGCTTTGGTTTACCACTGTTGGTACCACAGCTGGTTGCATTTTCCTTGATCTGCCCTTTAGACAAGGAACACAACAGAGGTTATTCCATGTCATTTGCTTTTTGAAAACTGTACAACTGCAAGCTTTAAAGCAGTAGGTTCAGACTTTCTGGAAGAACTGACACTTGAAGCTGACTAGAGTCTACTTGAGTTCATATTCACTTTGGCTAAGCCACAGTATGAGGGAAGGGTGTCCAGGAATAACGCTTCCATTTTTATCTTGTTCATTCCTGAAAATCCAACAGGAGATTCTTTTCACTCCCTAAAATTAACTGTGGTGTGTATAAAGCGTATCTGGATATCTGATCTTAAATGGAAATGATATCTGAAAATGCAAACAGCTTTTGTAAAACTTTAAAATTGGTCCTTTTTTTTTTTTATTTTTAGCCCTGGGGAGAAGGAAGGGAATGACTACCAAAAAAGCTGGCTGGTTCTGTTGCTGCAGTATATTAATTCACTGGTGATTATCTCTACTGGGTGGAATTTTAGCAGAAAATATTCTCAAGTCTAAAAATCACACTTATTAAATACTGTAAGTGAAGTAAGAAGTGAGCCATATTATCCCCCAGCAGGTATGGGGAAAAGCCACCTGCAGGTTATGTAATGCTTAACTCCCTTCTAAAATCAGGCCAGCCTTCTCTCCATCTCTGCTTTCCACTAGCTTCGTGACTTTGGGAAAGTTTCTTCATCTATAAACAGGGGAATCGGTTACTTTTTGTAGGAGTTTTGGAAGGCTTTCATAAGGTAAGGCATGGAAGCACCTGGCCTGCTATCTGACACATATTATGTAGCAATTATGAAAAAAAAAAGACAAAAAGGGAAATAAGGATAGGGATTTGAGACTAGAATTGTACCTGTAGGCAGTTGCCAGGGGCCAAAATCACCCAAAGAGGGTATGTGCCCTACTTGCCTTAGTTTAGATGAAACATGATTGCTGTTTTTGTTAAACACACCTCAATTTTGAATTGAGATGAAGACAGGAAGCCTAACTGATTTTTCCACTCCAATTAAGGTCATTGGAGGGCAAGTCAGAACTGTAGTTTAAACCTGAGGCAGCAGTATCATGAACTGGTAGTAAAGAGATCAAGAAAAGAAGGCAAAGGCGGTGGAAGGGCAACATAGTATTGCAACCAGAAGGAGCAAACACCGTCTGGGTGCATGAAGAGACATGGAGACAGACAGAGCCACTTACAGGTCCCACCACCCCTTGATTGAACATTCGTTTCTTCAGCTCGGGGTCAATGCTTGGGGCTTTGCCAGGTGCAGTGATTCACGCCTGTAATCACAGCACTTTGGGAGATTGAGTGGGTAAGACTGTTTGAGCCCAGGAGTTCAACACCAGCCTGGGCAACAAAGGGAGACCCCAACTCAAAAAAAAAAAAAAAAAGAGAGAGAAAAGAAAAAAAACCTTTTTTTTTTTTAATTTTAGAAAAACTTGGGGCTTACCGAGATTTGGCTGAGATACTGCCATGGACCTCTGAGGCACTGGTGTGGAACCGACAGCAGGGTGGAGGTTCATATGATTCAAGGGCTGATTCATCGCCTTCCTAGGGTCTTGCCATGTGGTGATTTTTTCTATGTGACTAAAAGAAGGAAAACAATTAGTTACCTTTTTCATTGTCAGCATCATTATCATCATCATCAGCAACAACAGCATGACAGTTAATGACACTGGTTCTTCCCTTAGGATCTGCTTATAAGTGGTTGACAGGATGTGCCTGGTTTCATCCAAGGACATACTTGCCTGTTTTTCCCTGCATCCTGGTTAGGCCACACTGGGGATTCTGCAAGGGCTCTCTAAACACAAGCCTAAGACTTCGCTGTCCAGATGGCCCTTGCATGCAGTCAGTGAGCCCAGCAAACCTTCCCTCAGCCCATGGAGCTTGCATTCCCCAGCACTTCACTGCTTCCCAGCCATCCAATCACTGGGGTGCCATAGTGTGAGCTCCTTAATGGAAGGGGAGCCATGATCTCCTGCCCAGCCAATCCCCCATACTCTCCTGACTCATATAATTGACATAATGGGGATCCCTTTGGCTGTCATCAAGCAAAAGATGGGCCTATGAAACCAGCTTCTGAACACCACATTAGTGAGCTCTCACAGTTGGAGTGTAAAGTACTTCAAGGTCCACAAAGGTGACACATAAAACCCTAAAGAAGCTCACTGTCACCAAGCAAGGGGACAACAGTGTAGCTGGAGAGTAGAGTTGCAGGAAATAATAGTAGGAAAGTTGACTAGTGCCAGCTTATGGGGAAACTTAGATACCGAGGCATGAAGGTTTCCAACAGAGAAGACATGATTGACATGATTACACTTTTGATTACATACAACTTCCAGTTTGTTGCTATGACTTAATCACAGAGAAACTAGCCCAACATGAAACATGAACTTCTGCTCAGAGTTTCCAATACATTCTAAGAAAGAATGGCCTCCAGCTTTGCCTACCACCCTCCAAACCACATTGCAGGTCACTCCTGGTACTTTACAGACCCCGTCCCACTCCATCAAGGTCTTCCTTTAGTGAGAATTTATGATGCATATATGTATATTAAAGATGAGTAGATTCATCCTGTGCTTCTACTTTGTTTTAGAAACAGTATCAGAAATCTTTCTGCTGCTGCTTTTTTT